CTTCACAGCCTGGACCCCTTGCACTGGCTCAGCGAGCGCTACCTGGGCTATCAGATGGATGCCAAGGTCTACATCATCTGGGGCAACTCCTTCCGAGTGATGGAGGATCTGAGCACGGACCAGGGCACCTCTGTCGGGCCGCTGCTCTGCTAGGCAGACCACTTCATACGCTACCACGCCACACCTTCTATGTCTACTGTCTGGAGCAGGGTGTCATCCTGTCCACAAAGGACCTGAGCCAGCCCCACCAGCTCTCCCCCTACCCCATTCACCCCAAGCACTGCCAGGGCCTCCGCTACCTCTGCATGGACTCCCACAAGACGCTGGTCATGGTGGACGAGAAGTGGGGAGCCAATGTGAGGACCAACCCAAGCCTTACAAGGGGAATCTTCTCCACCCACCCCAACCTGCTCAGCTTCCTGCCCAGGGCTCCTGACCCTCACCAGGGGCATCTCCATCCACAGCTGCGACTGCATCAAGGCAACAGACCTGACGTATCCATCACCCGGACTGAGAAGATGACCTGCAAGGTGGGTTCCACCAAGCAGATGTCCAGCATCGGGCGCAGCTGGGATGTGGCCACCACCAGCTCTTTCGAGACAGTCACCATCACTGGGCTCATCACCCAGGTCCAGTTCTCCCTGTCGGCCCAGCCCAGATAAAGCAGGAGGACTGGACTGAAGCCCTGAAGAATGATGAGACGCTGCAGGTGACTGAGAGACCCAAGCAGAGCTTCTTTGTATGGCAATACCTCCTCAGCCTGGGCCAGGAGCCTGTCCTCTTGTGCCATGACCTCACCCAACCCTCCTCCCTCCCTCTGCCTTCATCCTCCTAAGCCTCTTGGAGACAAAGCCCGCAGACGATGCCGTGACCATCGCATGGGCGTCTGCCTAGCCAGAGCCTCTTGGGTTGAGTGTTGCATTGGCCTCCTAGAAATTTGTGGGATCAAATCAATCCCTCGAAATCCATGCTCACAGTTTCCCCGTGCCTTCCTCCCCGCCTGCCCACCTGGCTCATCCGCCTCTCCTGAGCGGCTCTCCCAAGATCAATGCAGATGATTTAATTAATTCTCCTCTTGGTCTTTTATGGTTACGGCTAGGTGTGGCAGAATTCGATTTTTACACTTTTTTCAAATTTCGACAGATACGATCGATGTTTGTTTTTAAACATTTTCTTCCATTTTGATCAATTTCAATTTTCACAGTTATGCAAAATTATGGCCTTTAACCTTTTTTAAAAAAAAAATATCTATTTACATTTTCACAGTTGTGGGAAATTGAGTGGGATCAGACACTGGAGGAGGACAGACAATAATTATTTAATGACAGTGGACATTGAGATTCAAAAAGTTAAAGCTTTATAGCCAGTAAAACACAAATTGTCAACAGCACATGGCCAAATATACGGTGTAAACGGCCTTAAATCAAATTCTAATAATTACTCAAACAGCATTTTGTTTACCTTGCCTAGCTGTCAATTTTGATTATTATCGTGAAATCAACGTTTATCGACATTTAACGATAAAAATCAAATCCTCCTGCAGCCTGAATTCTGCTTTGGGATCGTTTTGGGGTGGAACCTGTGGCAGAAACGCAATGCATTTGTCAATCCTGAATAAAGCATCGATTTTTTTCAGCGTTCACCAAGTTGTTGGCATTGAATTTCCTTGCTTTTCTCCTTTGTTTCACTTTGGGGGCTATAGAAGGGGGGAAATGGAGGAGAAAGAAGGAATGCAGCAGGGACCTACAAAAGGCCCTTGAGTTGGTATCTCTGTGAGACAGGTGGGGAGCAGAGCGGGTTGAAACGAAATATGTGGGAAATTTAGTGTGCCAGGCCCCAGGACCCACACAGACCCATAGAGGCCTCCAAGACTCTTCGGCACTGACAATCCCCATCTCTCTCCATGGCTCCTGGCAGTGGACCAACTGAGCCAGGTACCGGCAGGAGGTATTTCTGGTGACCGCAGCCTTTCCTTGGCCCACAGCATCGGCAAGCGCTTGGGCTAGCAAAGAGAGACAGAGGTTGAGACATGGTCCATCCCTGGTTGAGTCTGTTCAATGAGCCAAACCAGTGGCCATGGACTCCTCCCCTAGGTCTGGCTTTGTCTCTTCGTCCTGAGACCCAGCTCAGACCCTCCCATCCCAGCCGCCTGGCACCTTTTCCCCTTTGGTCCCCAGCTCAGTCCCCACATCCCGCCTGCTGGGCTTTCCCACTCCCAGAGGTCAATCGTTCAGGCCTTGGGTGAATCTTGCTCCCTCTCTGGAAGCTGGGTCGGTTCCAAGCTGTTCTTTGCTGACCCCCAGACAGCGAGGGGACACCCCCCACTTCCTGTGCCAGGAGCAGCGTTAACCGGTGTGCACCCACCGGGCAGCAAGGCAATGTGCAGAGAGAAACTGAGGCACGCACCTGCTTCACACAAATGGTACAGAAAATGGCCACTTCGTCCCACCCACCCCCACTGCCCTGAGTCTATAGATACCTGCTCCCCACACCACCCTCCACCCCAAGCCCTACTTACCTCCCCACTCTGGGCTCTCCTGATCCCTCCTCAGCTGCAGCAGCCCTTTGCTCCCCCCCCCCCAGCCCCTCCCCCCCCTCCAATCCCATCAGCTCCCCACTGCTCCTGCAAGTCTCCTTGGGGCGGGCAGGACGGATGGTTACACAGCCTCCTCCCCTCTGCAGCCTTCTGGGGGTGATTGGCTGGCCTGTGCTCCAGCTTTCCCCTGGGTGGGGCCACTGCTCCCCTCCAATCCGATGAGGTGCTGCTAGCATCGGGGAGGAGACCTTCCTCATATATCGGGCTGGCACAGCCAGGTCCCACCCTTGCCAGGCAGAGGGGGATCCCCAGAAGGATTTCCTGGGGGCTCGGCTCTAGGAGAGCAGCAGGCTCAGGGGTGAGGTTCTGCAGGGGTGGATGACACCTCCAGGCCGCAGGCATCCTCCCCTGGAAGATCACCACCACAGGAAGTACCGCCTCAGAAGGCCAGACTGAGTGACAGCTTCCTCCTGGTCCCTGATTGGCCCAGATGCTCTATTTGAACCCAGGAGGCGTTCCAGAAAGTGGCTGTGCAAGGAGGCCAGCCAGAGACGGACCCATCTCTCGGTTCAGTCTGCTGACCCCAGCCCGGGCCTGGAAGGGTGACTCCAGTCCCGACCCCTAGCATCGATACTTGGGCTTTGCCACCAGCTTTTGCCCCTTATCCTGGTCCCCAGCTCAGGATATCGCTCTTAGACCCCAACCTAAGGTCTGGGCTCTATCTGGCACCAGCCCTGACCACCCAAACCCTGGGCATGACACAGAGGCAGTAGCAGGCCCACACAAAGTGAGGGTCTTTTGGGGGGGTGGCAGAAGCAATCTGGCGGGGGGTAGTGAAACTTGCTACCGCTCCATGTGACCTTCCTCATCAATAAGGGCCGGGGAAGCTAGTAGCTCTGGGGCATGAATCGCAATCCACTCTGGGAACAGAATTGGCGCAAAGTCGGGTCGCACTTCGGGCTTGTCTACCCAGAGCGGGAGTTTAATCCCCCACTTCTCCAATTAGTGCCCAATGCCCACGCCCATCCCATGGAATCCAGCTAATCTTGGCAAGTGACCCGCACCCACATGGTGCAGAGGGAGGCAGATCTCCCCCAGGTTCCTGCCAAGCTCCGCTGAGGGAAAATTGCTTCCCTGCCCCGCATACGGCGACCAGCGAGAGTCCAGGCCTATGAGCAAGAACCAGCCAGACGAGCACCTGAGAGAGAGGATGCTGGGATCCACCTCAGACCCCTGCCCTCCCTGTCCAATGGCCCCTCTCCAGAAGTGGCCATCCCTGGGGCTTCCAAGGAAGGTGATTCAAAAATAACTTCCCAGCATATACTGGGTGGGAAATCCCTTCCTGACTCCTACCAATGGCCGGCTGGAACCCTGAAGCATGACCATTAGGAACAGAGGACGGCTGCCTCCCCGTCATACAATCGCGCTCATGCATTTGCCCAGCTCAGCCTTAAATCTACTTGATTATTTGCCCCCACACCTCATATTGGAGTCCATTCCAGCACCTCACCCCTCTGGTGGTGAGAACCCTCCTCCTACTTTCCAGCTGGAGTTGGTTAATGGCCCATTTGCAGCCATTTGTTCTCATGCCAACATTGTCCTTTAGCTTCAATAGCTCTTCACCCTCCCTGGTATTTAGCCCGCCCCCGGCCTGATATATTTATAGACAGCAGACAGATCCCCTCTCGGCCGGCTCTTTGCTAGACTAAACAAGCCCAGCTCTTTCACTCCCCTCTCGTCAGCCCGACTTTCCGTTCCCCTGGTCGTCCCTTCTCGACGCCTGCTCCCTCCTTCTGGAACGGCTGGGGCCCAGAATTGCACCCCGGATTCCAGCCAAGCTCTGGCCTTGTCCAGGGATGTCCACACAGCCCCCCAACTCTCCTGGAAGCCCTCCAGGATGTCTCCAGCGGCCGCTCGGTGCGGCAAGCCTCTACAGCAAAGTGGCACTGAAGCCCAGCTGCTGAGATAAAGCCTGGGTAGGTCCGGTTCTCCTCGGCGCCGTGATACTATAAGTCACCAGTTTACTCAGGCAGGTTTGCAAAGGATGAGTCTTAAATCTGGTTTGGTTGAGGCCCACGGCAGTGGGATTTTTCAGTCCTGTCCGCTTTTAATGTCAGTGTTACAATGGGGCCATCACCACCTACTGGCTATGGGGGGCGGGGGGAATGGGCGGAGGGAAGCAGCAGAAGAAGTGGGGCCCAGGGACAGCCCCTAAGACCCATGAGTTCAGGCCATCTCATGATGCCCCCCAGCAGGGTGTAGAAAAGCTCAGAGCTCGTGTGCTTGCTCTCGACCACCTGCATGTAGGTGGGTGAATAGGCCACAGGTCCTTTCTCGTCTCATGGCGCCAGCTCCCATCTGGCCCCAGGATGTGGGACTGGCTGGCTCAGGGGGTGGGGAATGGGACATGGGGCCTTTCCCCTCTAGGGGGCGCCAGCTCCCATCTGGCCCCAGGATAGGGGAATGGCTGGCTCAAAGGGAGGGGAATGGGACACAGGATCTTTCCCCTCCAGGGGGCACCAGCTCTGATCCAGCCCTTTTAAGGGGCATAAGGATACCAAGGTTGAGCTATAGGTCCAAGTCATTTCCAGCTGCTTCTTAAAGGCACAGGTGCATTCATGGTGCAAATAAAGTCCCCTCATTGGGCAGCAGTTCCGTTGCCCTCTCCCCAATCGCCGTATCCCTGCACCCCAGGGGAGAGACTATTTGTAAAGCCCAAGAGTGGGGCTGTGGTAGAGGCACATGTAGGCATCGCAGAGCAGGCGTCGGGCACAGGGGGGCAGGGACTTGGGGTCCAGCACCTGGAGCTCCTCCGGGCTCATCTCCAGGTAGTCGGCCACCTCCGGGCAAGGTGTGACCCGCGGGATGTTGAAGCCATTCTGGCCACCTGGAAAGGAAGGAGGGGGAAGGAAGGGGTTAAAAAGGAGAGACGGAAAGAGAGAAGGCGGAAAAGGAGAGAAAAAGAATGAATAAAATAGTGGAGGGGGGGAGGGAAGGTATGGAAAGGGGGAGAAGATGGGAACGAGAAAATGGAGAGAGGAAGAAGGGAACGAGAAAATGGAGCAAAAAAAGGAATGAGAAAATTAACAGAGAAAGAAGGGATAAAGAGAATGGGAACGGAAAATCGTAAGAGGAGAATGGAGAAATGGAGAGAGAAGACGAGAATGAGAAAAAGGAAAGAGGAAAAACGAATGGAAACAAAAGAGGGAGAAATAAGGAGTGACAAAAGCTAGAAAGAGAGGAAAGGAAAAAGTGGAGAGAAGGATGGATCTAAAGGAGGAGAAATTGGGAAAAAATAAAAAGGAGAGGAAGAAGGGGAAAGACAAGTGTAAAACAGAAAAAGGAGAAAGTGGAGAGAAGACAGAAAAGGAAAGAACGAGAAGGAGAAAATGGAGAGAAGAATATAAAGGGGAGAGAGTGATACCAGACACCTGTGTTCCTGGGGAACCAGGGTGCAGTATCCAGCCGGACTCATGAAAGACACCCCCCCCCGCCTCTGCTTAAACCAAAACCCATCGGAAGAAGAAAACTTGCAGAGAGCAGTGAAGGGCGTTGGGGGACACACCTAGACCCCTCCTGACAAGGGTGACAAGATTAAGACATCTCCATTAGCATACAGAATGGAGAGCAAAGACAACTCCCCTAGCCTCATCTGCATGAAAGATGGGACAGGAAGACATCTCAATTTACATACAGAATGGAGAACAGAGAACCACACTGAATTCTGGGACCAGAAAAAGCAGGGAAGCACTGCATCATGGGAATCTCTGCTCCAGATGCAAATGAACCTATGCCTGCACACACACCCAGCTCAGCAGTTATCAGACCAATTCTAGTAATGAATCCTTAATTGATATCCAAATACTGAAGCAGCCTAGTTGCATTGTGAGCTCCCTGGAAGAAAACACCACCCATAGCCAAGAGTGATCAGCTCCTATTGTCTAGTTTAAAGAAAACCCTTGCGTCATCAGCTTACCTATAAACAAATCTAGTGTTCTCCCTTGAACCATTGTAATTTCTCTACAAAAATCCCTACTCACCCTCTAGTCAGGGTTCTGATGCTTAGATCCACACTAGGCATCAGTTCCACTGGAACTCCATCTTCTGACTGATCGTGCTGGGGGCTCTGCCTGTCTCCAGCATTCAGAACCCTCAGCTACCACCATCATCTGGGAACCCTGACCAGTTCAAGCCTCATGGAGTGGGTGAGATCCCCCCCTCTTTCTCTCTCTCTGTTTTCCTTTCTACCTTAGGTATTAACCTTTAATCATGTATGTGAGGTTGGTTTAGCTCTCCTTGTGTAGTTATCACTATTATTCAATAAATAACTTTTATGGTTAACTTGGTTGCTTCTCTCTCTCTTGCTGAACTTTACTCGTTTGTGTTTTTAGCTTCCCCCATTCACTCTACAGCAACGCTTCTTTTACCTAAGCTAAAGATCCCTGCAGCGCCCAAAATACTGCGGGGTTTGCTCATCGAGTAGGTTACTGCCAGTACAATTGTGTTGGGGGAGTGGGGATAGGGACGTGCTGAATCTCGGACGCATAAGGGTAACAGCTTGAAAGTGCTGCTTGACCCAGTCCATGGAGCCCAGGGGCATATAAGAAGAGTCAGCTTGAAAGTGCTGCTTCCTCCAGCCCAGTGAGTCCAGAGACATATAAGGGGTCAGCTTGACAGTGCTGATGGACCCGGTCCGCTCAGACTTGCTCTGTTAATGTACGTGTGGGTGTGGGTGTGGGGGTGGGTGTTCATCCGGTTCTGGGGCGGGAGTAACCCAGCCCTAGGGAGTCTAGGTCCTGCAGGATAGCTCCACTGGGAGGGGACTTGCAGAAGGGAGAAGTAAAGCTCCATATGTAAACACAAGTGACACAAGCAGTACATTGACAGGATTACAGAACCCCCTTCCCCAGAGGAGTAACCCGAATAAATGAGCGTACCCCAAAGAAATGGGCTCATCTGGTAACAAGAGGGGGAATGGGAAAGAGAAATGAGAGAGAAGAGAAAATGGAGAGGGACTCATAAGGGGGAAGGGGGAAGAAATGAGACAGAAAAGAATAAGAGAAAATGAAAAGGAGAAAATGGAGAGAGAGGAGGAAAGGGAAGTGAGAGAAAGAAAAAAGAAAAGGAAGGAGAAGTTGAAAAGAGAACGAGCAAATGGAGAGAAAGAGGGAAGGAAAAGAGCAAAGAAAGAGGTGGAGGAAAGCAGGAAGGAGAAAAGGGAGAGAAGGAAAAAACAGATGGAAAGAGGGAAGAAAAAGGGGAAAGAATGGTGAGAATAGAAGAAAAGAAGGAAGGAGAAAATGAGAGAAGGAAAAGAGGGAAGAGCTGGAGAAAAGGGGAGGAAAATGGAGATAGGGACAGAAAGGAGAGAAAAGAAAGAAAAGAGGGAAGGAGAAAATGGAGAGAGAGAAAATAGATGGAAAGAGGGAAAGAAGACGGGAGTCTCCCTGCTGCAATTCCTGGGGTGCCCACCAGGGGCAGCCCCCAGCCACATCCCCTGCAGACACCCACCCCCCCTTAAAGGGCCAGCGCGCAGCTCACCCTGGCGGTCGGCCATGCTGTCAAAGAAGAGCCATTGGCCGCGGCGTGGACCGTGGCGGGCGAAGGCCACGTAGTGGCTGGTCTGGATGCAGAGGGCGGCGTAGAGCTGCATAGTCTGGCGGGGCGGGGGGCCTGGTGGGGGCGGCAGGTGCTCCAGCTCTGGGGGTAGGCGCAGGGCGCGGGGGCGGTGGGAGCGCCGGGCGCGGTGACGGTGAACCTGAGTGGGGGGAGGGGGTGATTACAGGGAACAGCATGTACCAGAACCCCCCCACCTCCCCCAGACACCCACCTCTGCCTCCCCCACCCCCAATATTCCCTGCATCCTCCATCCCCCTCTCCCCTCTCACCCCCAGCGCTCCCCACACCCCCATCTCCGTGTCTCCCCCTGGTGGCCGGCGGGCGGTACCTGCTGGCAGCAGATAGTGCAGTACTGACGGGTGCTCCCTGCCCCGATGCTGGGGTCCCCGTAGCACTGGGGGCATTCGCTCAGCGCCAGAGCCTGGCAGATGCAGCACTCCCGGGGGGCTGCCAAAGCAGAGGGGGAGGGGGGTCAATCACAGCGCCGGCACCTGAGGGACAACCCCCTTCACACTGCTTCCCCTCCCCCGCCACCTCCCTGCGCCCTGCCCCCTCCCGCTACCCTCTCCCCAACACCCCCATCTCCTGCCTGCCCCTCCTCCACCACCTCCCTGTGCCCTCCCCCACCACTGCCTTCTGCCCCCTCCCCTCCCCCCAACCTCTTTCTGCCTCTCCTCTCCCTCCACGTCCCTGCCACTGTCCCTCCATCCATCTTTCTGTGCCCCTCCCCCATTACCTCCTTCTGCCCCCACCCTCCGCCTACCTTCCCCACCACCTCTTTCTGCCCCTGCCCCTCCCCGCACCTCCTCTCACTCCTCCCCCACCCCTCCCTGCTGCCCCCTTCCCCATCCCCTCTTTCTGCTCCTGCTCCTCCCCCCCACCTCCCACACCCCCTCCTTCTGACCCTTCCACCCCACCTACCTGCCTGTGACCCTCCCCCACAACCTCTTTCTGCTCCTGCCCCTCCCCCCATCTCCCCATGCTCCTTCCACACCCCCTCCTTCTGACCTCCCAGCTGCCCCCCACCACCTCCTTCTGCCCCAACTCTCTCGCGCCCCCCCACCCCCCTCTTCCTTGCTGACCCTTCCCCTTCCCCGCAGCCTCCCCCCTCCTCACTGCCCCCCACCTCCTTCTGTCCCCCACTCACCCCCATCTTGCCACCTTCCTCACATCTCCTGCCCCCGCCCACCTCCTGGCTGTCCCCTCCCCCTTTTGCTACCCACCCCTCCAGCCCTCCCCCTGGCCCCCCCTTACTGTCTTCCAGCAGGTCAGTGAGGTCCAGCTCCAGGCTAGGCAGGATGGTGGCAAAGGCCTTGTAGTACTTGCCATTGCGGGGCATCTGCAAGATGAGGCAGGAGGGGGCCTGGCGGGGGGTAGGGGCAAGAGGGGGTTAGTGTTGGGGGGCAGGGAGGGGGGATCGGGGCTCCAGCCCTCCCCTTCAGCACCCACTCCTCTCCCCATCCCCCGCCTCTCACCTCGGTGAACTTGAGGTCACCAGCGGCCAGTG